TTATTATTATAAAACACACCTACAACTTGATCCGGCAAAACAAAGCAGACTTTTTGTATTTGTATTTCTGCCTAGATTTGAATTCATAAAATGGCTTTTTTAAAATGTTTTATAATACATATACATTTCATTGTATTTATAATGTTTGTCTATATGAGCCTATAGTTTATTAAACACTTCTATTATTACATATGCTTCCTGTATAGAGAGACTTTTATGTATATAATAAACATGGAAGCCAGAGTATGACAGTATTTCTGCGCAGTTTATTTGTAATCTGTGGAGACCTGTTACTGTTGTTTTAAGTGAATCACTGAAAGTAAGATATTCTCACCCAACTTTATGAATTAAAAAACTGTTTTAAAAGAATTCTTGCAAACCTTATTTTTTATACATGAACAGCTATTTTATTTTATTTTAGAATTGAATTGAATTTTGATTTTTTTTTTTCTTTTTCTATTGCACACAGTGGGCGAAACGGCATTTCAGTGCGGTGTATGTCCTGTACATTGCAGAACTGACAATAAAGTTTAATTTGACTAACAATGATTGTAGTAACCCTAAGAACCTTAAAGGTATTCTCCAGTTCCATTTTTACCAGTTGAAGCTCTGTAGATCTGTATCTGTAGATAGTTTTGATGCCATCTGCCCTGTTTTGGGGGTTTTAGTCTTTTGCTATTTCTGCCACCACACGGTTACTGCAGATAAAGCCTTGTGGCGTGGGCGTGGTCTCTGGCCTGCTGCAGTGGAGAAAGCGTCACAGTGAGCTTATGGGGCGGTGCTGAGGCGGGGAGAATAGGTGCGCAGGTGCATCAATTGACTGTGTGTCTGCTTTTTGTCAGTGAAAGCTAGCTGGGATGGTGTGGCAGCGAGACGGAGTGCCTGTGTCCGGAGCCAAGGGCCGAAACCACAGAAGTAGTAGTTGTCACACAATAAAGATAACTGTGTGCGGTGAGTTTTTTCTGCTCCACCTTGGGGATCCTGCACGACAAGCATTTTCATTTTTTTCCACGTCATTAGACCGCATACGTTGCCCTCACCTACACTCCCTCCAACACATCTCCCCAGCTCCTCCTGGGTCCTCTGTCTTGCATCAAGTGGCAGATTGCTGCTGTTGATAAGCGGCGGGTAAACACACGCTGCAAGAACCTGTGAAAAAGTGCAACACGGACATCCTTACTCAAAGGAAACGTAATGAGTTTACACAGTGTGTAAAGGTCCAAGTTTACCTGTCTGACAAATGTCAGAGGTTTCATTCCTGCCTTGTGTAAATCACCCTGGAAGACATCGATCACTTCTTTGTAGGGTCTTCTCACTCCCTGTAGAAGAGGGATTGAAAGCAAAGGTTAAAGATATTACAACAAAGACAGCATGACTAACTCTGGTTTATGCTTCCTATATTACAACTCTGCGTAAACATAGTTTTTCTTGCCTGTCTGAGCTCGTCCTTGATCTGGTTTGCTCGTCTTGCCAGGGTTCCATACTCTAACTGCGTCATGTTCCACATGTTTGTTTGATGTCCTGCTACGCAGATATTACTGTAACCCTCTTTACTTTGTTCAGACCAACAGAAGTGTGGAGGAGGTGAGCTGAGTCTTTTCTTCCTTCTCGGCTTGATGTGAGCAGAATCATTTACCAAAGGACTTGTTTTATAGTTAGATGTGCACAGGATTAGGCAATATGTGCACAGGATTAGGCAATATGTGCCTTATTAACAGACCATGTGCTGAAAGGACAGACTTCTTGAATCAACTCCAGTGCACAATTCAATGCTTTACTTCTGCATTGTGTATAAACTTTTGGTGACATGCATGACAGAGCACGTTAAAGTATCTTCTCTTAGTGCCTCTGTGTGCGATCTGTCAGTCTTATTTAGAGAGAAGTTTTAAACAAATAATTATGATTTTTATTTATTTATTTATTTATTCATAATAAGTCACCTTATTCACACCAATGAACCAAACTAAATTAATTAATCTATGGATGGACAGATCTCCATAAATAGGAATAAACAGCACAACAACTTATGTGCCATGTGGTATGTGCTACTGAACAGCTTTCATCGTGGCTCAAAGGTTAGAAGGAGGTTAATACTTTCCTTAGAAGAAAATGTCTAAGAAAGACTCTCCCTCTCTACTGTTTAAGGTTATCAGTGCTTGTAGGTTCACCTACGTTTGCAGTACCATGCAGAAGTTTTGATCCACCCCTCATTTCTTTATATTTTGCTCACAAAATGGAAAAATAAGTGCATCAATTTATTGAAACGTGAAAATATACATGGAAATACAGAATACAAGGTAAAATTGAGCTTTTATAGTTCAAATGTGCTTGAAAGTCGATATTTGGTTTGATCACCTTTATTCTTCAGCAACACTCTTAGCCAAGCTTTCTGATCATTTCTTTAAGTAGTCTTAAGGAATAGTTCTTCCTTCTTGAAGAACATCCAAAGCTCTTCTTTGGATGTTGGCTTCCTTTTTGTTCTGTTCTAAGTCAAGATGATCCCACACTGCTTCAATAAATGTTGAGGTCCGGGCTCTTGGCAGGCTAATCCATGACTGTCAGTGCTCCATTGTGTGGTATGCTTTTACTGCATTGGCAGTGTATTTGGTATCACTGCCATGCTGAAAATCGAAACCCTTGGAAATCAGATGTTTTAGAAATAGTGTTTCATGGATGATCAAAATCTGGTGGTACTGTTCTGCATTAATAATTCTATCAATTTTGACATGATTCCCACTGGCTGAAATGCAGACCCCAGACAAAACCCAAAACATCCTGCACTGTGTTTTACAGATGGCTGTAGACACTCACTGTTGTACATCTTCACTGATTTTCTCTGTATACGTTGATAATTTGAACTACACGTTTCAGTTTGGATTCATTACTCCATCAGATCAGTTTATGTGAAATGTGGCATACCTCAGCCACAAAGAGGAGAAAACCTCTTTCCCTTCATTAACAGTGGCTTCTTGACAGCCACTCCTCCACTGAGACCATATCCGATGAGGTTTCAGTGAACAGTATGAATTTAGCTGAAGGCCCAGATGCATGTCTCAGGTCCTGTATTAGGTCTTTGCTGGATTGTTTCCTATTTTTATAAGGGCATAACTTTCAGATTCTGTTCAACTGTTTTAGATAGTTTTTAGGCCCAACACTCTTTTTTCCTCCATTTGTCCAGTTTCCTAAATTGTTTTTAGGCACACAGTTTCGAGATATGCCAGGTTTTTGACTAACAGCTCTTTGGGAGTCACCTTACTGGTACAAAAATATTTCTCTCTCTTTTTTTTGTCTATCAAACCATGTTATGTTTGGTATTTTTCATAGATCCAACCAAAGAAACTGGAACAAGTTATGTGTTTTGCACTAGGTTCAACCCTTTGTTATGCTGCTACAACAATATGAATTTCCCAACTCTGGGATTAATAAGGGGTTAGTAAAGGGTGTTAACGTCCATGTCTTACCATCCATAAAGCTTAAATGACTCATAGCCTACTGGGATGACTGTTTCTTTAATTTTCTTTTTCTGAACAGTGCATATAAATAACATAAAGCAAACGCAAGTATGATTAATATTAGAGATATAATTCTTTATTAGAGATGATTAGAGATTAATATTTTTAATCCGTGTGTGTTTTAAATCTTTCTTATACTGCGCTGTGTTTTAAAATTGGAGTCGCTGTTTCTTTACGGAGAAGATTTACAGTCGTACTCTTCAGCTTCCTGTTTTGTTTTTCTGTCGCTCGGCTTCGGGTAGACATGGAAGAATTTGCGAGGCGCGGAGACAGCCAGAGCCTCCCCGTGATAAAACGCGCTCTCTTTAAACACCGGTGGACCTGTTAAATCCCGCAGAAGACACGGGCAGCAGTACCGAGCCTCACCCGTCCGTGGTGTCCGCGACATGGCTCTCAGCTCGGGCGGCTGGGCTCCACCAGCCCCGATTCCTGCCTCGTCCCCACAGGCTGCATGCGGCGGCCCTGCACCTACCGCCTGCTGCAGTACAGTCTTAATGTCCGTCCGTGTTTCGGTGTGCCATTCCGGGATCCGACCGCTGTACCTCCCCGGAGCGGGCAGCGAGGCTCTGCGCCTGCAGCTCAGCATGGACCCGAGCCGGGCCGGAGAGTTCCGACTGGCTTTACGCGATACGAGCGGAAACCGCAGTGTGGTAAGCGTAGACACACACACACACCTGTATGTTTAGAACAAATGCTTTTGTTATCAACCTAATCGTGTGTGTGTGCACAAACGCCTTTTTAAAGTGACATTTATATTCTTAACTAACAAAAGGCCTTTACGCGCAGTTTTACGGATCTCATAGCACGACATGTGCACCTTGGTGGATTCAATTTGAGGCACGACAAATCTCAGAACAACAGAAACTCTTTCCTGCAGTTTACACCAGGATCCACTGTGACAATCAAGCGGCTGATAGCAGAGCCTTCAGATTCCCACCCCGGTGTCGTGCTTATTACCAAACAGTATGTTTTTAAAAGGGGGGTCTTAAAAAGCCTCCCATTGTTGTTTTAACGGAGAAGTAGTGTAGTTACTAAAACTTTTAGTTTCGTTTTCATTTTCGGCCCTTCCACGACATAACAGCATCACGGGGGAAGTCCTTTATAGTGGTAAACTCTCCAAGTCTTAATGGCAAAATGGCAGGTGGGAATTTCCACGATCCTCTTGTCATCTGAACAAACATGCAGATTTGTACTGGCAAGTCATTTCTCATTATGTGTGTTGTAGGAAGTCTGTATTTATTCACTGGTATTCTACACCAAATGATTCAAACAGTGGCTTAAGCAGAAGAAGAAACTTTGATGGTGTGACTAACCTTAGTGCTCAAGCCCTCCTGTGATTGGAGAGTTGGTAATGACAGATAAAAATAACAGCATGGCTTATCAGGAAAACCACACTGAGCACAGAGGTGCATTTACCTTGGCGCTTTACCACTGTTTCCATTTAGATTGCTGACTGTGGCACTAACAAAAAGACAGCAGGCGGAGTTGAAGATATATTTGATTTTTATTGGAAGTGACCAGTATTAGAAATTAGTACAACAGAAGGACAGCTCAGGTTGAGCGGTTGGGAGACAACGTCAGAAAGGCAAGGCTGACTTGGTTAGAACATTTGCAGAGGAGGGAAAGTGGATATATTGGAAAAAGGATGGTGAAGATGGCGGTGGGAAACATCAGGCACCCCAGGATATGATATTATTTAACATTTTATAATATGAAGAACTGTGTCACTAACATATTATACTTTTGAACAAGAGAAACAGTGTAAGGGTTGATCACAGAATTATGATTAATTTGTGAGTTTGCAGATAGTGCACAATATGCACAATACTGATCAGAACATAATCAGTAAATGTAAAAGTGTTTGAGTTTGGCTAAAATGATGAATAAGAATAAAAGTAAGAAAAGAAAATAATCATGTTAGAGACAGGCGTAAGTCAGTCCTGGATCGCAGTCGGTCCAAGTCAGACTGCGACTGTATCCTATCAGGTGAACTCTGGGCAACCATTTAATCACAACAAGTTACCATCCGTCACAAAATGTGAAAAAAAACCCAGTACAGTCTCCAGGCAACCACCAGTTTTTTTGAAATACATGGAAGGATGTTGCTATCCTGTTTTCACTGAGCCTTTAGCTTTGTCAAGCTAAGAGTGTCCACTGTTGGATGGTTCTTTGGTTGACCTGATTAAAAAGTAAGAGCCAGGAGGATTGCTGTGGTTTATACAATCGAACAACCTTTGGCTAAGAGGATGGCACAACGCAGAGCCCACAACTACCTCTTCAGGCCAGGACTCTGCAGTCTATTTACTCCTGTAGGCCAGTGGACACCTTCAGTGATGTGGATGTACACATAATGGACAGGGATGAGCATTGGGGAGTCTAGGAGGCCACGCTCAAGAAGAACATAGAGGAGATTGATGGATGTATGGTGGATGACGGATGTGACAGAAGAAGATGGTAGGGATAGGGTGAGATAGGGGCGGGTGATGCGCTGTGGTGACCCTTAAATGGAGCAGCAGAAAGAAGAAATGAATGTTTACAGGCTGTATAAAACACCAAATGTAAGCATAGTACTTTCAACTTCTAATGTCTGATTAGTTCTCGCATCTTCAGTGCTTCTCATTTGTGAAGTGTCTCCATACTCTTTCCCATGGTTCTTGTGTGGTTTGTGGTGTTTGAACCTGTTGTGTTTGGCATAATTTGCTGTGTTTGTGTGTGTGTCTATGTGTGTCAGCCCCTCGTTTAGGAGCAAGCTCCTCGATTTGTCTCGAATGGTCCTGCTGCTGTTCAGAGCTACCTATGCAAGCCTGCACACCGTCATCCAAATAATTAAAAAGTATTGCTGCAAAATGTAACGTGTGACACCATGAAATAAATCATGGAGCATAATATGAAACTGTAGATCTATGATATGATATTTAGACACATTTTTCGGACAGTTTATGCCCATGCAGCAAAGGGCCACTATTCAGACTCGAACATGACATACGGTCATTTTTCAAATTTACTGTTTGTTTTTATGTTTTATTGTCTCTCTTTCAGTAACAGCAACTTGTTCAGTTGTTCAGTTTAAATAAAGCTTTGATCTTAAATACTAAATACTTAAAAACCGACCAACTCTAAGCAGTCTGTGAGACTAAACGTGTATTTTTGCACAATTAATCTGGCAAAGCAAGCCATTTAAAGCTGTTTGGCTTCACATAATTGTGCTTTTTTTTTTTACTACTTTTTGACGATCAAAGGATCAATTAGCAGATTGTGGCAGGCAAAAGACATTTCAATACAAACACAAGTTTAATCTTCTCAATACTGGCAATAAAATAAACAAAAA